AAAAAAAAAAAAAAAAAAAAAAAAAAAAAAAAAAGTAGCTCGGCCTCACCGATGCCTCACTATGTACTGTGAACTACGAGCGGCTTGATCCCTCCGATCAGAGGGTACGTAGGCAGCCTCGTTTACGAGGCACAGCTGCAAATATTAGTAAAATTTATCTTTTCCCAAGTATGGAACGAAACGAAAACACATCAGCACCCTGGCCCGGTGTCTGATCGAACGAGAAGCCGAATTCTGCACTCGCAAAATTAAAACGGCCGATTGCGTAAGCCGAGGTCGAACTCGCACTTTTATGCCCGTTTTAATCATTCGAACAGGATAAGCCGATCCCGCAGGTCGCACCTACAAATGTCTTGGAACCGTCCCAAACATACGATTATCGACCAAGTTATCGAGGTCGTCCTCGATAACATACGAAATACGACCTCAAAGGTCGCACCTACAAATGTCTCAGAACCGTCCCAAACATACGATTATCGACCAAGTTATCGAGGTCGTCCTCGATAACATACGAAATACGACTTCATAGGTCGCACCTATAAATGTCTTGGGATCGTCCCAAACTTGATTATCAACTGAATCATCAAGGTCGCCCTCGGTAACACACGCAGCCCGACCTCGAAGGTCGTACCACCGAGCGTTTTGAGCCCGACCCCAAAAGTGCGAAACTCATAAAGATCGTTCACGGCAAAATACGCACAAATATAAAGGGGTAGAACAGTTGATAAAAGGAAAAGCCAACAGAAGTGGCAAGTCTTACAAAAGCCGACTACGCGGCAAGTAAAAAAAAGCAAGCGAAAACAACAACAACAAAAACAGCAACATAGTCTCAAGATGCGGCATCATCTTGAGGAGGATCTTCGACCTGGATACTTCCTTCACCAGCAGCCGGATCCGCAACGACCTGGTCCACGGCGTCCGCATCGACAGCAGTCCCTTCTTCAGCATCGACAACGGAGGGAGCAAATTCTTCGACGACAAGAGGACCCTTGAAGAAAGTCCGAACATCAGCCCAACCTTCTTCGAGGTCGGCGATTTCGAACGCGTTCACCTCGTTCTTAAGGTCTTCAACATCGGCCTCGAGTCTCTCGATTACGTCCTTGGAGTTTAGGACGATCTCCCCAGACTCAGCCAGCGTCTTCAGCAAATTCACGCTCCCGACAGCTTGATTGTAATCGAGAAATTTGGGATTCGCCGCGTCCCTTGTGGTGAGGTGCCTCTGGATCCCGTCAAGGCGTTTCTGGAACTCTTCAGCAGCCTCCTTAAGAGCCTTAGTGACCTGGATACGACCATATTCGGCACGCCGCACCCGAAGCCTTGCCTCCTCGGCTTGTGACTGCTCGGCATAGTTTTTAAAGTCGACTCGGGACTTTGACAACTCTTCGAGACAACGCTCTCGCTCTAAGAGAGCGTTATCTCGTTCTTCCTTCAATTTTGCGACCTCCTCGCGAAGAAGCCCCACCTCGGAGTCAGCACTCTCCAAACCTTTCAACGCCTGATCGGCCCTTTTTTGCTCGGCCGCTAAGGCCCTCTGATGCTCCTTCGAGGCCGTGTTCTGCTCGGCAACAACACGGAGGCGCCGTTCGTACATGTACGCCTGCCCCCGTTCATCACGAAGACACATCGTCGTAATAGGCTGGGGATTTGTGCTCGGTCCGGCTGCCCCCGTTCGACTTTCGAGCTCACGACGCCGCAACTCTGCGACAGCCGGGGAAGTTCTGGCGACGGATGAGGCTGACGAATCAGAGGAAGTCCTAGATCTACGATCCCGGGAGCGGTTGACGGATTTATTAAGAAAACGGTCGACGGACCGAACGTACGAGTCATCGGAAGTACGAGATCGGCGATGGTCGGAGACAGAATCGAAAGAACCGAAGCTCGAAGACATAATCGGAAAATGAGAAAAGACGAACTGAGAAAAGAAGAGAGAGAACAGAGGGAATACCTTCAGAGTTGGTGCGGAGAAAGAATGAGGGAAATGAGGAGGAAGCGAAGTATTTATAGAGAGAGTCGGTCGAAGAAAAATGTGTCATCATTGTTTCTCGAAGAACGGCATAATCATCACGTCTTCGCCGCCTGCAACACGCGAACGACCCGTCTCTCGATGCCTCGAAAACAGAGGCGGACGAGTCAGAAGAGAGCGTCCCAACACGCGCATCGGGAATGCACGAAGGAAGTCAAAGCGAGAACGGCGAAATGATTGCAACCCTAGCCGCGTTACTGCTACGCACTAGGGTTGGGGGGCTACTGTTGATGGTAGATTTTGGGCTCGGGCCCAAAACCCTTAGCAAATCTATCATCCTCTGCGGCCCAGCAAACCTGAAAAACCTTGAAGCCCAAGAAGAGCCCAGTGAATATCTTCTTGCCGACCAAAGGGCAAAAAGGACATTTCACACGTGCAGGGTACCCTACCTCTACGCCCTATAAATAGGAGAAAGCAATGATTGCGAAGGGGATCCCGATATAACGACTGGAGCAGAGAATATTGTACAAACCGTCAGAGAACTTTGCGGCTCGGCTCGTTAACTTAGAAATTAAGCTCGTCTATTTTTGTAGTTGTCAAGCTCGTCATTTAATAAGAGATTCTTCTTTCTTCCCTTGAGAACTCGTACTTGTGTGATTTGAGGATCAACAGAAAGTGTAATAGTTAATATATAAATAAACCTACACTAATTGACAAAAAAAAAATTATAAGCTTTATTTTTTAAAAAGATAAACAAAACCTTACACTATGTGGAAAAGAAAAAGCCTACACATGTGCAAGTTATTGATTAGTGAACGTTGAGGCAAAAGTAAACTACATATACACATGAACATGTTAGAAATAAGCTCTACTTCTTGAAAACTCGAGATTGTATGGTATAATTCCAGAATAATCTTTTATCTTCTTTTTCTTTTTGTGTTTGAGGATTACGTGGCCTCTTGACTTGCCATCAAAACATGTTTTGGTCATGAATCGATCTGGGAATAAAGGTAAAATTTGCATGATTCTTGACATCGCTAAAGCTCGATTTCATTCCATGACGATAAGGCACAAATGGAACCACATTTTTTTTTTCTAGATCAAAAGGTGGCCCAACATTGTTGCGGAGAGTCGTTATTCATATATGAAAAATACAAGGTCATCATATTCATAGCACGTACATGTCTTACGTATGATCGTATCTAGTTCCATATATCCTTATATTTGTAATGAATGCATGATTTTGAACGAAAAGAAAAGAAAAAACAATTTTGGGTAAGTGTTGGATATTATTTACTATTGGAAGGTAAATAGGCATGCATGTACGGATGTACCACACTAATATTGTGTGTGTGTTTTTTGGTGAATGAATGTTAAAATTTATTCAACCAAAAGCCATGTATACATTATAGCATCCTTTGATAGAAGTTTTTGAAAGGACAAAACTGAAGACAAAAGCACAAATTTTAAGGTAAGACACTTGTGGTGTCTCTTGAGCCGAACCAAATGTGCAGCCACGTCTACAATATATGTGTTTAGCAAGCTGGTCAGAGGTGGTTTGGGTTTCTCCATGCCGTCTACAGTTCTGTTCAGAACTTTGTTTGTCCACAAAGCAAGAAACTTCCGTTTGAAGTTTCAAATTTGTTTAATTTCTTAAAAAATTTGTTTAAATTTTGAATTACAATATTTTGAATTTCAAAGTAGTTTAAATGTATAGAACTAATAAAGAAATATGATCAAAAGTGGTATTTGTATTTTAGTTTAGAATTTTACTCGATTTCGGATGTATGCATTCTCGTTTGCATGCAAACACTAAAAACAATGTAGAACATCAAATAAATTTACGAGTTTAAAATACCAGAATAGCAGCCCTAAATTTTCCATTACGTTTTTTTTTTTTAACTTTTTCTTTGACCAAAAAAGAAAAAAAAAATTCCATGCTTTGAATTACAATATTTTGTTAAAATAACATGACAAAGTACGTAATACTATCACATTCCATTAAATGCAAAGCAAAATCAGAAATATATATACTTAATTTGTTTGTTTCTTTGTTATTTGCCATTTATCTAAAACGTATCTCAATTCTTGGCACTCACCAAAGTGACTCTTAAATTATCAAAACTCATCTATTTATAAACAAAATTATGCACATTAGCATCACACCCATTTTAAATTAAGAAAATAAAAGGCACCACACAATGTGCATTATCATACAATATTGCAAACACCTATTCTCTCTTTTAATTTTTCCATTTATTTTATTTAGTGGTTTTAAACATTCTTGATTTTGTAGTGGGTCGAATATCACTCCTACTTGATCTATTTTATGTTTTCGTAGAAGCAATGGGAGTAAAAACAAATAATAACGCTAGCTCCAGGAAATGAGTCGGACAAAATCAAACTTGTACAATAATTTGTCACATGGAGCTCGTTGGCAAGACATGCATGAGTGCAAGTTCCATGTTATTGTTGTGAATCCTATTTAATCAATGTGTTACACTATACTTATATATCGGAATACAAATCAACGTAGACTGATTCACCGTTTGGTTAAATTATTATGTAATGCGAAAATAAAATCTAAAGAGAGAAAGTGATATTAAAGAGCTTAGCAAATAGCAACCAATGTACAAGTTAGACTACACTTTGTTAGAAACGGTATGTGAGAATCTACTTTGAGATCACTACATGTTCTTTTTGCATTATCTCTTCCAGCTTTGACATCGTGAGAAAAAACAGAAACAAAAGTAAGCTTTTTCGCTCTTTTGACAAAGCGAGAAAAAAAGTCAAAAGTCTTTCTTTTTCTCTATAATATTTGTAACATTTCTTAATATAAATAAAGAAAAACAAAAAAAGCATGGACAAGGAGAAGAAATACAACACCAGGTTATTTTATTAGAAAGTATACCCACACGTTACAAAATACTGAAATAGGTATCCTCCCAATCTATTCTTTCAAAACTTACATGCATACATTTTTTTTTTGTCATTCTTGATTAGTTTCATGACATTATTATTACCAAGATACGATCAATAAGTAACTATTCCTTTATAATATTTGATCAAAGCCATAAAGCCCCAACGCGTTTAAGCATTGGAATGAGAGAACGATTGAGATGGAGACTCATGACTTGATTGGCTCCACCAACAAGCTGCCCTCCTATGAACACCACTGGCACGGTCGGACTGCAGCCAAGTTGAGCCAATGCATGCTCTATCTCTTTTCCTCTGTTGATCTCGTCTAGCTCATAGATCGTTGGGTTCACGCCAAGGTCTAAGAAGAGAGTCTTGATTGTGTGCGACATGCAGCAAGAGTTCTTGCTAAAGATCACTACCGACTTCTCGGAGATCATCTTTTGTAGCTTCTCCATTGGTGTTATAGTGTAAAAGGGCGTTTGAAAAGCTGCTTGCAAAGGATAAAGTAGTTGTGTTCGACTAAAATGTAAAAGTAGAGATGAAAATTGGGAAAACTAGAGACTTTTAAAGAGATTGTGATCTTTGGGTGAAGATGAAAAATGACTTGGAGCTTATGTGTTTGATCAGTTTGATGTAGAGAATTCTCAATAAGGGCCCTCTATATATAGAGCTTTTCAGGTACGTGAAGCTATGATATTATGGGTTCGACGTAGCACTTTTTTTTTTATGGAATCAACTTTATAGCACGAAATAAAGGACACATTTTAAATAATGAAAATTTAGATAGTGGGAGTATCCAAAAGAATCTGAGGGTCTGAGGCTAAGATTGGTTTACACCTTCTTGACTCTTTGCCTCTTGCATCTAAAGAATAAAACTAATTCGATAAAACGTACAAAAAACAAAATCTCTTAGCTGTGAAGAATACTTGATACGGACGAATCATGTCATGTCTCTATAGTACGGCCATATATTTTCATTGTCAAAAAGAGATATATCATATTATCACATTAAGTCAATTTAATTAGTGTTTGCTGCATACTGCATGATTTGTTTTCTATATTATAAAGTTCGGACCCATTAGACTTAATTTATCTACGGCATTGGATGAAAATTGTATTGACTAGAATTCAATTCGAACTTGTGTTATGTGTTGATGCTTAACAAAATTTTCTGCTTTGTGATTCTTTTTAATACATAGATAAACTTCTTTTTTGAGATATAGTGATATACATATGAGCATAATAAAAGTAGAGCTCTACTTCGTGAACACTCGAGATCGTAAGGTATATCTCCAGAATAATCTCATATTTTTGTTGTGTTGAGGATTACGTGGCTTCTTCACGTACCATCAAGCCACTTTTTATTATTCTCACTAAAATTCGATTTTGGAATAAAATTCAGTCTTGTTTGATTCTTCACATGGCTAAAATTCGATCTCATTCCATGACGATAAGACTCAAAGGAACCAAATTGTTTTTTTTTTTTTTTTTTTTGTATTTCTTGATTAAAGGTGGCCCAAGATTGATCCGGAGAGTCGTTATTCATACATGAAAATTTACAAGGTTATCATATTCATATCCCGTATATGCTTATTACATAACACATATCATATCTTCGCATCTAATCCCATACTCTCGTACCATCCTATCACTTTTTTCGAGAGATCATATCAACTTTTCTATAATAAATACGTAATGTGTACTAGTTTGCATAAGAAACAAATTGTACGTGGGTCAGTGTCTGGATCTCATTAAAAAATAAGTTTTTTGTTTGATAAAGAATTAAAAATTATCTTATAGTAAATAATTAAGAGACATGAGTCAATCAACTCAAAATAAATTAGTAATGATCAGTAAATTGCAACAAGTTTTTATATTTCATTTTAGGTCTCTTCTAATTTTCGACGTGGGATTCTAAACACATCGTTCCAAGATAATGAGTTAATGACTCTTACCAGTCTATTTTTTTTTTTGTCTATTTATAACATAACCTCATTCTAGGACTGGTGATAAATTTTGCGTAGGACTATCTTCTCCGAGTAAACAAATTTTGCTCTGATACTATAAAATAAGAGTTTGATATTTATACATAAGAATAATTAAAGAAAAATAGCTCTTGTTTATTTTTTTATTTTAAAGAAATAATGATTTGATTTGGTGATGGATGCATAGAGTACAAACTTTCTTTACATTCTCTTCTTTTGCCTTCTTCATGCCGACTCAACTACCTTTGTTATATCGGCCGGATTTTCCTACACAACCCAAAAAATAACAAGTTTTGAAAGAGATTTCATAATGGTAGAAAATTTAGTAGGAAAAACCTATGTTTTCTTGTAAATATAAACCAACCAATATCACGGCTATATATTTTAACTGAAAATTTTCGTACCTCTACAACATCAACTTTATCTTCATCCTTCAAAACCGGAATTTCATCATTTTCCGTGGCCATGATATCATCATTTTCCGTGGCTGCGATTTCGTCATTTTCCGTGGTCGGGATATCTTGAACTTCTAATTCCGTTGTTACCTGAGTTTGTACCTCAGGTATTGGTTCTTCAACCTCTGAAGATGCAATTTCGGTTTCAACATCCTCATCATTTTTATCCTCTATTTTTTTCTCTTCTTCTACCACCGTTTCAATATCAATTTTTTCTGTTACCAAATCCAAACATTTACGTCAATATTTCTATACAACACACGCCTAGATCACAAGAAAATCTCTTATATAAAACGTAATTTAAGTCTATAGTTAAGCAATTTGCAACTTTGTAATAAACCATCGAATAAAAACTTCACAATTCTAACGTATAATTGTTGTGTATGAAAAAATCATTACAAAACATATAAACATGTAAATTTATCATTTTATTAAATTAAATTATTTGCATACCCTTTTGTTCTTCAACCGGCGAAACGCTCTCATTCTCATTCACGTCGTTAACGGTCTCCTCCGTCACAACATTCTCCGGCACTATCGCAGCCACCTCCGCCACCGGCGGAAAAGTTGTTGTCGTTTCCTTTTCCTCCGGTTGTTTGTCACCATTCGTCATCTCTACGGCCACCGCCTCACTACAATCTCCTCCATCTTCCTTTTCCTTCGGTTTCTTGCTATTGGTTTCTACGTTGGTCTCCGGCTGGTCACCGGAAACTACGGCGGAAATGTCGTTCGTTTTCCGGCACCGGCAGCTTTCTTGTCTTTTAATTGTTTCGCTCTCTTTTCCCTTCACAGATTCAGCTTCCGAAGGTTTCTTGATCCTCGTGGTGTTTCCCGTAACAACATCGTGTTTTGATTTTCCACAACCCATGTTGTTTATTCCTCTAATAAAAGCCAATTCTTTTTCTACAATAACCTCTTTTTAATTGATTTTGTGAATATGAAAAAAATCAAAGTGTTGATGGAAAAAAAAAGATGAATCTTTTGATGGATTTTTATGGAAGGAGATTAAAGAAAACGATAAACTAATTCCAGTTGTTTTTTATGTGTTGTGATTCACTTTTGTTAGAAAAAGTTATTTTTTCGTTTAGTTATTGTTCGGTGTTCCAAACTTAAGGCGATACCATTTTTTCACAAAATAAAAGATCATTTAGTTTCTTCTTCTTTTTTTTTTTTTATTAAGAATAGAAAAGGTTATGTTTAGTTAGAGCGACACGAGAGGTACCCTAAAGACAAATATATTAAGGGAAAAATAGAGAATAATCTTTAATTCTTATAAGTTATTTTAACTCGAAACCAATTAACATGCATGATTAAAAAAAAAAAAAAAAAAAAAAACATGCATGATTAGACAAACTACAGTATAAACCTTATACATTAGTGTAGATATATCTCAACTTCCAACTTTCTAACATTCTAATAGTTGCCATTAAAACTTCTCCAAATCCAAACAATGTTTTTACTATAATAGATTTACGAGCATTATTTTTAAAATACGAGAGCTGGGGAAGGGCTGATGGCATATCAAAGTGAAGTAAAGGGGTGAATTAGTTAATTATGAACAGATATAGGGACTTATTTTGCAAATAATGTATTGTTAATGGTCTAAAACAATAAACCCTAAATCTTTGATTCCGGCGTCTAGCCATCGTCCTTCTCCTCTCAATCTCGCGACTCTACTCTGTTTAAAAAAAAACCCAACTTTGAATCAGTACCGTGGAATCACGAGTCATGCAATTTCTACAGAACTCTCGTAGAATCGCTAAGGTCTTAAAACCCATTGTTATCACCGAGACTAATCTGAGATTCTTCTCCTCTGCTTCTCAAATCTCAAGTCCCTTCCAATGGCGGTATCAATCGTCTGCGTCTTCCTCTGTATCAAAAGGTACTATCTTTTTGTCATTTCACAGTTCCTATTGCGAGAATTAATCATCTCTAGCTTTGGAAATGAAGAACTTTTTTGGTCCTACACGAGATTACTTAACTTGTGTAACGTTAGGAAATGTAGCTAGTGATGGTGATGAATCTGAAAAATTCGAACTTTAATCACTTTTATACAAGAAAGGTGATCACTTTTAGCTTAACTAGTGATCCAATTTTAGCCTGTGTCGAGATACGTACTTATCTTTCAATGCCTAGCTTAGGATCAGTGTAAGTGTGTAAATGAAATAGCTTTATGTCGTGGTGTAAATCGAAGCATGTGTATTGATTTAGTCCTGATGGGATCCCAAAATGGGATCTTTTATATATGTGTAAGTTATTAAGATAATGATGTTTTGCAGGGATTGATAGATGTAGTCACTCGTCTTCTATGAGCTTATTGATCCCCAGATCGAGCTTTTCTTCTGAAGCGGAAAAGCTTGCGGGAAATCCTACAGGTTGCTTTGTTTTTGAATTACATTCTAAGATCACCTATGCGGTTTCTCATTGCATTTCCTCTGTGTAGTGACTGTCAAGGATTTGCATGATAAAATGCTTAATTCTGTAAATGTCAAGAGATCAATGCCTCCAAATGCGTGGTTGTGGTCGTTGATTGAGAACTGTCAGAATCACGATGACATTCATCTTCTCTTTGACGTTCTTCAGAATCTACGGAGATTTGTGAGTACCTTAATGCTTTCCTTTTACATGCCTTGTTCTGTTCCAGTTGAGATTTCTTATACATATCCAGGATGTATGGTTAATCGATTCTTAATTTTTGCTGTTTCTGGATTGCAGAGATTATCTAATCTTCGTATTCATGACAACTTCAATTGCAATTTATGCCAACAAGTTGCTAAGACTTGTGTACGTGTTGGGGCAATTGACTCTGGTACTCCTTTGATTTTGTGTATTTTTTTTCTTAATCTAATCGAACAAGCTGTTAAATATGCTTTCTGTAGCTGTTCCCAGGATCCGAAGGTACTAATACTGTTCTTTGTTGTTGCAGGAAAGAAGGCTTTGTGGAAACATAATGTTCATGGTTTGACACCCAGTGTTTCATCTGCACACCATCTATTGGTATTGCATGTCTATATGTTTTTTCGGTTGTTTCTTCTGTACACATAGATGTTTAAGACATATTCTGGATTGTCATGTAGTCGCATGCACTAGAGCACAAGAATTCTGAACTCATGGAAGAAGTAATGCAACTCCTGAAAACGAATGATCTACCTCTACAACCCGGTACAGCAGATTTAGTTTTCAGGTGTGTAGAATTGTTTTGTTGCTTGTTCTATATGGGTGCGTCGTAAGAAAGTTGAAAATGCATGTGCTTTCTTATCATGAAATGAACTTTAACTTGATTGTGGCAGGATCTGTCATGATACAGATAAGTGGGATCTACTAGCCAAGTACTCGAAAAAATTCTCCAAAGCTGGAGTTAAGTTGAGGAAGACCACATTCGATGTGTGGATGGAATTTGCTGCCAAGAGAGGTACTTTTGGATTCCTATCTTATACTTGCATTGATTTATCGTTCTATAGAAGAACTGTCATTTCAAGTAGTATTGAGTTATGGCTTTACAGACACTAGATGGATTTATCAACCTATCATGTCTATGATGTATTGATGTATCTATATAAACATGGAATTACACTGATTTGGACCTTTTGGTCGTGAAAAAAAGATCAGGAATCCATAAAATTTTGATTATTTTTCTCCCTTTTTTAAAGAAACCAAGTTCAAAATAGGTTCGGTAGAACAGACTCATAACTCAGCAAGTATAATTTCTTTCTTAGCTCATCTGTTACCTGATCACAAATGGGATTTAGACTAGACTAGTAATGCAAGAGGCAAATCTTGAAATCTTAACAGAAGAACACTAGTCCGTGAAGGGTTTTCCATTTTTTATATATATTCTGATGCCAATTGCTGATTATGTCAATCCTGTTATCAGGGGATACAGAGTCGTTATGGAAAGTAGATAAACAGAGATCAGAGACATACAGTCAACACACTCTTTCTACTGCCTTTTCTTGTGCAAAGGTTTAGTTAACACATATCTTTTTCGGTCCTCGTCTTATAACCACATACCGAGTTATATTTTTAAATATTGCTCTTTTCACAGGGTTTTCTACTAGAAAGTAAACCTGAAGAAGCTGCTGCCGTCATCCAGATTATCTGCCAAGTGAGCCCAAAGCCTCCCTTACTATCTCTTCTCTTCTGATACAACCTTTTTTGTAGCTTTGATAAGTATTTTAGTTTAAAGATATGATGTGTGACTGACTACGCAGGCATATCCTGATGAGAAAAAGTCAGCGGTTTCGACTGAATTCGAGAAACTAGTAAATGACTGGCCTGTGGACGTTATCAAGCACCAAACCGGAGAAGATAAGAAGGTTAAAAATTCTCTCTTATTTGTTATATTTCGAACCTGAAACAAAAACTCTTTATCTTCAAACCATACATAATCCTCCATTGTTATGATGAACAGGCTCTAGCTGCTTCATTGAAATCTGTGATTCCTTCCATGGTTAATGCATTGCTAAGCTCGGGTTTGAACGTGAACGTGGATTTAGATGAGTTAAACAAGAACGAAGCTCTTCTCAGCTGAATGATTCACAGGTTTGAAAGTTAAGCCTTTCGTACCGAATTTGATGTGATCTTTTCCTTTTAAAGGTGGCAACAACGTAGAGAAGAGGGAACGAACACATTCAGTTTCTTGCATCCTACGATAACTCATTTTCTCGTTTTGACCTATATGAACAAAAGGACAAGAGTTGTCTTGTTTTGTAAGCCTCAAATAATTTCACTCTGTGGAACTTTTGTTGTTCATTGGATTAGTAGAAACCATTTCCTGTATAAAACAGTAATAATTGAGACAAAAAGGTTCATTGATTACAACTACTTATCTACTTACGTATTAAATTCTCCATGTGTATCTAACTACATAGTCAAATAAAAATTGAATATTTTACCATGTGAAAGGGAGTAAATGAAAATAGTTGTCAAAATTGAATCTTCTCAGTTCTCACCATAGAGGCATAGACAATGGAATTTAAAACGTTAAAAAAACAAATAGACAATTACATAATTGATGATAATGACTTCACATAACACAAAACGACAAGAAATAAAAACATGCAAATTAAGAAAGAAAACTTGTTCTGTGTTTTTCTGGTTAAAAGGGTTTACTTAAGAAATTAAGGAAGCTTCAAAGCATCAAGAACAACAAGAAGCATAAACACAACTGAAGCAATAAGAGTGATAGCAACAGAAACAGCAGCTTGGTTACAGAATTTGCCAAACACTCCACAAACTTTCTTCCACATAACATGTTTGTTCCCATGCCTACCCATTAGTCCGATTGCTCCGGCGGCTCCGGTGCTGGAACATAGTAACGCCACCATCATAAGATCTCCTATCAATACTGCCACTAACAAACATTTGCTTCTTCTGCTTTTGCTGATTATTACAATCACTATCGAGATCGCTGTGTAACCGCAAGCTATCGCGTTTGCACAAATGTTGTACCTACAACATTTGTAATCATATATTGCTTTATTTTTGAATTTCATGCAATCTATAAAAAATAAATTAATAAATTTTTCTTTGGACAAAAAAAAAATGAATTAATGTCTAATTTTTTTTAATTTTTTATATATATTCATACCATGCATTTCTTGTCATGCCAGCTAGAACTGTTGTAAATTAAATTATAAGCTAAAATAATAGTTGGGAAAGGTCAGAGAAAGATTTGCTATGGACCAATTTCACTGTTGTAATACAGTTTGTTGTTGGACATTTATGATGATAGGATTAACTAAGTATTAAAGTTATTGTATACGAGTTGATCTGTCTATAAGATATTATTATTTAAAATATACACACAATAATCTAGCATTTTAATATAAATTAAACATATATACAAAAAATTGGTATTTTGTATTGTTTATTTTTATGTTGTAATTTTGCATTGTTTCTAAAATGTATTTTATTAAAAATGATAAATTTGTTTTTTTTTTGTCAAAGAAAATGATAATATTTTTTTTAAATGATAAATTTCTACATTTCTCTTTATGTTTTTTTTTTCATGTGTAAACGCAACCACAACGCAAAAATGGCGTTCGAAACAACCCAAATCTGAGACAAAACATGCATGTTTGTGAAAAGGAGAAAGAAAAGAGAGAGGCTTACACAAAAGCAGACAAGTAAGAGGCTTTGGCGGTTGTAGCGACATTAAGAGGAGGCAAAGTAGGAATAAGCTTTATCGGTACAACCTCTGTTTGTTTTGCGACACCAAGTACTGTCGCAGCTACCATTGTTAGGACCAAAGCCAGCACTCTCATCATTATCTCAACTCTTTTTCTCGACCCATTCTCTTTTTTTCCATTCTCCATCTCCATCCCATCCATTTTGGTCTTGTTCTCGTGTTCCATTTAGGGATCAAAAAAAAGTGAAGAGAGTCAAAATGAGAAGAAAGAGCGAGATTGAGAGAGAGAAATAACCAATATTGTTTCTTTTGTTTTTTAAAGTTTCTCATGCTCTATATGTGAGTAGAGAGACGTGTATATATATAGAATAAAATATTCTTACTTGACTTAACACACATCAAGTTGTGGATAGTAATGATATTTACGTGGCTTTTTGAGTTTATGTGGCGTGAGAGTGAATCTCAGCTTACGAAAGAACGTATATGGATAATGTATGGGAACGGTGTGAATACGTTGTGTAGTGTTAGATTTGGGCTTTAATATGGGCTTCCAACTCAAAACCAATTGGCAATGAGTGGATTGGCCCTAACCCTTTATATATCACTTGATAGTTTCTCCAACTTCCGATGTGTGACTTTCTCTCATTAACACCCCCCTCACGCTCAGGCATCGTTGGCTCTGAAGCGTGGGCATATGTGGGAACAACATCCACGGGGTGGCCCGATATGGGACTTCAATAACACCCTCCCTCACGCTTAGGCATGAACATCTGAAGCGTGAGCATATGTGGGAACAACATCCACAGGGTGGCCCAACGATCGGGTGGCTCTGATACCATGTTAGATTTGGGCTTTAATATGGGCTTCCAACTCAAAACCAATTGGCAATGAGTGGATTGGCCCTAACCCTTTATATATCACTTGATAATTTCTCCAACTTCCGATGTGTGACTTTCTCTCATTAACACCCCCCTCACGCTCAGGCATCGTTGGCTCTGAAGCGTGGGCATATGTGGGAACAACATCCACGGGGTGGCCCGATATGGGACTTCAATAACATGTAGAAAAAAAAAGTGTGAATGAATAGATTGAAAATTGTGAAAAAGACAAATTTGTGAAGTTTTTGACTTAGGGTGTTCATTGTAGGTGTCAAAATAAGGTAGCATTGGTATGTAAAAACTGATATTGTTTTCACCAAAAAAAAAAAAAATATTCGAAGTGCATACGGATAAAATATGCGTTGGGTATGGTATGATTTGGATATATGTGAATTCCCACAAACTATATATTTTTTTTTGAGGTCAGATATTTTGATTTTAGAAAATTGTTTGGCAATTTAAGTTAGTGATAATTCGAGTAATTCATGTACTTTCTGATTTAATTTTTGAGCGAAATATAAATATTTCTATAGGTATATATATTATCTGAAAAATATGATCAGATTATTCGCATGCATGACTCAGGTATAGACCGGATTTAAATTCGATGAATGTTTCGTGACAAAAAAATCATTAAATAAGATTAATTATGAAAAAGAAGCATTTCCCTTTGTGTTTAGTTTTTAGCTTTTGGACATCTAATAAAATGAATTTTTGTTTTCTTGATAATTCAGAGTAAATCGCCCGACCTATGGAGGAGCACATGACTAATTCTTGGGGAAGAGGGTGTTACTCTGCTACCGTAAACAATAGGAAATTAAGAATATAACCTCCTATATTAGGTAGATGACTGCACTTCTAAGGAAATAATATTTCTTACCCTTTAAAAAGAAAATACGTGGAGGTTGGAAACTTGGAATTTTAGAAAACTAAAACAGATTATTTTGACTTAAAGGTTTCGTATGTTCATAAAACAATTTACTTAGATATTTAGTCTGTTCATGGAAGAGAGGGTTTGGTGCAACACGTAACGCGTACGCTTTGGTTTGGTGTGAGTGATATTACCAAGCACGAAAGTAACTCAGTGTCCATTTAAACTCGGGTTTGAATTTGATGAGCGTGGATTTAGTATATGGTTTTGATGTGGTATTTCCAATACAGAGCACATTATTGATCAATTTCTTGCATTTTACGGTATCTCATTTTTCACGTTAGTCCTTCACGAAATTAACAGAAAAAGGAGATCAATAATATATTGTTCAAAATTTTAATTTTTTTAAAGGAAAATTTTTGTGCATGTATAAAGGTTCATTCATCCATTGCTTACAACTTATATGTCCACATTATTGGTTACGTCATTATATAGTGAGGAAAAATAATTGGTTTCCGAAATTTGAATACATGGTCTCCACAATAGAAAACGATTTGATAAAACATTAGAAGCAATAGACAATTACATGATTGTTGATAATGATTTTATTTTTACATAACACGAAACGACAAGAAACAGAAAAAGTAAACTAGGGAAGCTTAATAGCATCAAGAACAACAAGAAACATAAACACAACTGCAGCAAGAAAAGTGAGAGGAAGGGAAGGAGCAGCTCGGTGACAGAATTTTCCAAAAACACCACAAACTTTCTTCCACATAACATGCTTGTTCCCTTGCAAACCCATTAGCCCAATTGCGCTGGCGGCTCCGGTGCCCGAAAACAGCAAAGCCACCATCACTAGATCTCCTAGCAAAACCGCCATTAACAACTTTTTGCTTCTTCCTCCCCTACTGATCATCAGAATCGCTATCGAGATCGCTGTGTAACCGCAAGCTATCGCATTTGCAGAAATGTTGTACCTACAACATTTGTAATACAGTATTACTAATACTACATTGCTTATTTCTGTATTTTATGCACGTTAACGTTCTAGTGTAATTCTCTTTTTTTTTTTGCCATGAAAGAGTAAAATAAAAAATATGTATCAGTCCAGCAATTAGTCTAAATTCATGTTCCTCGTTTACAAAATTTATTTAGAAATGCAGGCTATGCACTTTTGGTCATGCCAGCTAAGAACTGTTGGACACTAAATTTAAAGTAACATAAGAGCTGGAAAAATGTCAGGTAAAAATTGGCTATGGGCCAACATTGCTGTTGTGTCACAGTTTTGGTAGTTGGACATTTATGATTAACTACAAAATTTACGGTATACCAGTCATTTTTCTATGATTGGTATTATCTATGCATTTATGTGTAACATTTAATTATGAATACTCTATGGTCTACGGACCCATAAATATAAGAAGGTTAATTATGCAAAATATTAGTTCAGCAGTCCTTTCCCGCATGCAACCAACCGGTAAAGGTCTAATCAATTATCTCACTACCTCTACGTCTCAAATTTAATTATCAGTTTATCCGTAATTGTTATGTTTTATTTTCAACTATATAGACGACATGTAATACTAATTAAGAGAATGTGCACGATATAAACCAAATACTACTGTTTCATCTGTTAAATAGGTTAAATCGTAAATAACTGACTTTTCTTAAACGTAAATAAATTTCTTTATTTATCGGGATTATTTTTGAAAGAAACATATTTCATACATATAACACATGTTAATACTTATTTTTAAAATATTACATTATTTTATCGGATATATAACAGGTTACTTCAAATGACAACTTATATTTATAATTTTTCCATGCTAGTTTTTTTTGTCAATTTTACTAGAATTTTTTGTTATCTAGCAATCCAGCCGAATACCAATTCACATATAATAGTTAGAAAGTGTTTTTTAATTAAGCTTACTACTCAAAATAAAACGTTTGCGTTTTGGTATGCATCTTTGCAGTTTTAATATAAACAACATTACAAAGCATTTGCATATAAATTGGCTATGTTGTTACATCAAGGTTTTAGTTTTAAACAAACGTCAAAGGCAAACGAAAAATCCTACGATTTATATAAGAAAATTACTTTTACAAAAATATACTGTGATTAGAAGTTGAAATTCTTCTTATGTATTTTTAAAAGTGAATTTATAAACCTTGGAAATAATCCAAACCTACATGCGAGCCACACGTGTGTGTGAAAGGGAGAAAGAAAGAGAGACTTACACAAAGGCCGACAAGTAAGAGGCTTTGGCGGTTGTAGTGATATCAAGAGGAGGCAAAGCGGGAATAAGCTTAATAGACACAACCTTTGTTTGCTTTGCGACACCAAGTACTGTTGCAGCCGCCATTGTTAGGACCAAAGCCAACAACCTCATCGGTAACTCAACTCCTTTTCTCGACCCACTCTCTCTCTTTCCTTTCTCCATCTCCATCCCAATCATATTGTTCTTGCCCTCGTGTTCCATATAGGGATCAAAACAAAGTGAAGAGCTAGGGACAAAATAAGAAGAGAAAGAGTGAGAAATAACAAAGATTGATATCTTTTTCTAAGCTTCTCATGCTCTAGATGTGAGAAGAGACGTGTATATATATATATTGAGTACTCTTACTCGGATAATAAGACAAACCGAATACGCCATTAAATGATATCTACGTGGCTTTGAGTTTATGTGGCGCGCGAGACAGATTTTAATTAGCTTACGGAAAGAAAAAACAATTATGGATATATGCGGGAAAGCAAAGTGTGAATACATTTTTTTTTTTGGACAAAACAAAGTGTGAATACATTTTCATCGGAATTTGTGAAAAGAAAAATCCTCTACTAAGTTTTTGACTTCGGCGTGAGGGTTCTATTATGGTTTGGCAAACTTGAGCTACGTCTCAATCAATACTTAGGGTATGTGTTTATTCTGCTATGGACTTGACTCAGTTAAATACAATCAAGGGCAGATGTGGATAAGGAAGTTTGTAAAAAAAGATGATTGTGGTGTTAAACATTATTAAACGACTAGTATACAACTGATCTAATTTTTGGTTGATAGCGATTGAGATAGCAGTTTGATATAAGACCTATCAATAGATACAATATTGAAATTCTATAAAGATTTTTTTGGATTATAATAAATATTTGAAATTTTAGTTTTAGATAAATCATAAAATAACTAATTAAAAATATTTATTTAAAAAGGGTTGAACTAATTTTATACAAAAGAGTTATTTTATCATTATAAATATATTTTATCTTGATTTTTTTTTTGTAAATTTTTACTACTTACTATTATAGATAAAAATTTAAATCTTATTCATCCCTAACCATGCGCTGCTCCAAACACTAGCAAAAAAACAAACTTGCGATTTTAAACTATCCAAAACGGTATAAATAATCTACACAATTTTTGCTAAACGATAGTAACTGCAATTGTTTGCAAACGTAGCGTTTAAAGAAAAAAAATTCATAGTATTTTAAATATTTTGAGATAATTAGTTTTAGATAGTTTTTGGTAATTCCAGTTATATAGATGATAACATTAATTTGAATAAATCTTGTACTTCATATGATTTAATTTAATTGCTGTTTTGATATTTACAGTAATTAAATAGTTTGTATGAAAATTTTGTTTGGTATTATAATTATTTGCTAAAAATAAGGAAGGATAATTATATATTTCGATATAAAATTTTATATTGAAATCATAAAAAAATACTTATATATAAAATCTGTTTAAAACGACTTTTTTTTTGTTGAAATGTGAAATTTATATATGATAAATATAGCTTTAGAGAGAGAGGACGAGTTTTAAACGTTTGACACTAAAACAGCTCCAAAACAAAGCAGAACTAAAAACAAGGGATTGATAGAATAAAGGCAGAAACTGTTAGCACCGTCGCAGCTCTTTCCAACGCATCTGCAGGCCATGTAGCTTCGATGTCGAGGACAGCTGCATTGATGTGATCCGATCAGTAATCGCTTTTTCAATCCTTTTAATCAGAGCATTTGTTGTATTGAAACTTTGATTGTGATTCTGACAATTCCTTTCTCGCCAAATCATGTAGAGCGTTGTTTGGAAGACCATACGGAGTAGTGTCTTGTCTATGAGGCTGAAATGAGAAGAGCGGAGCGAGGCTAGCGTTCTTGACCAGTCCGGATACAATTTATGTTACAAAATATGACTGGTGAGTTCAGACCAGATGGTGAAGGTATAGGGACAAACGGAAAAAAGATGATCCCTCAACTCGTCTCTTTCCCTACGATGTCTCATAAAATTTAGATGCGACATCTCTGAACATTCCAATGAGTGTGTGGACCGCCTCAGCAACTGAGCTGTGCTTAGGCACACCAAAGGGCAGTCGGTAGGCCCGGCCCACCCATAAAGCAGCCAAAACATTTGCTTTAGGCACCAAAATATAAGAAAGTTTTTAGGGCCACATTATTAAAACGCTTGCTTAGTCTGGTGGTTATGTATTCCGAAAATTAGACTCTAGATTCGAGTTCGTGACAACTTTTTTACTTTTTTTTCCGTGTTTTTTTTTTCTCTTTTACAGTTTTTATATAGAAAATTATATTATTTAAGTGTGGTTTAGGCCACAAAAATCCTAGGACCGGCCCTGGCAGTCGGCCTTGTAGCTCCGGCAATGGATAGCAGGCGTTCCGAATGTAGACATTTATTCCACCAAAAACTTATGCTTTTTCCATCATAGACTTCCCATTTACGAAAAAGTCACTGCCACATTTCTGAGTTTTAAAAGTTTTGCCATCCAAGAACCACCTTTTGTACCATTCTTATTAGTCTCCCAAAAAGAACTGTTATGTTTAAAACGACTTCTGTGCTAAAAAGAAAGAATAGTCTCTAAATTTAGGGATCTAAAAATAGAAATTTCGGATTGGTCACATCTTCATTGTCGTTTTAGAGTGATTTGACTCGAATACAAAATTGGTTTTAAATTTGGCAAGTGCCTCTTTTTTAGATGATATTGTGTGAAAACGATCGGTGGCAATAATATTGTTGTCATTATTCATAACGAAATGAGTACTAGCACTGAATTCTATGTAAACTAATAGTCTCTGTAACTATAGACATCAACCACTTAAAAAAATAACCAAATCTTATGCAAGTCTTATCCTAACATATAATTCGATTTAGTTTTAACAAATGGCTAGATTAAAACAATTCTTTTGATAACAATTTACACATTATAATTAAATAAAATATAGAAAAAATTAAAAACTATGTTGCATGAAATCGGGTATGCAAAAGATTTTATACTTTTGTTAAAAAGACTTATGTTTCCAAATATATATATATATATGTGTGTATAGGTAAGTATTGAATTATTAAACATCAAATCATATACTAAAAATTATGAAAACATTAATCTAATACAATAATTTTAAATAACTCAATAAAAATAATAATCCTATTGTTCAAATCACAAATTTAGTTCATCGTTTAACTCAAATCCATCAAACAAAATGATTTCAAACACTTCGTTGTGGAGAAAAATACTTTCAAACTCAAGTCTCAGAAACTAATCTCATACAATTGATTTATATATTGGAGCACCTAATCAACCAGTCGATGATCTCACATATGATTTGAACCATCTTTGTGAAAAACTAGTATTCAGGAATGCTAAATTACTAAATTAGTTTTAGAAAAATATTTCATTTGAGAAAATATTAAAAAAACATCACATATCTTCAGAAAATTCATATCTCGATTACGAAAAAACAGTGTTCTAAAATACGCATGTATGGCTTTATATACAGTGTATATACGTTGTATGGTGGGAAGCCGTACTATATTATGGCTATACAAATGTTTAATATGGTGAAAGTTATACGGTCCATATATATGACGATTATACGGTGATTATAGGTGAATTCAGCATATACAACACTTTTCTTTAAAGACTCAAAAACAAAAAACAATGTTATTTTCTAATGTTTGGAAAAATAATTTAACAAAACTATTAGTTTGGCTCTCAAAAAATTAACCATAAAAGTTATCTATAAAATAACTTTATTATCAAATTTTTCTATTATTTTCATGCTCATTAGTTATTTAAAATTTTAAAAGTATTTTGTAAAAGTGAAACTTTTAACTTTTAACTTTTATTTTTCTATTTATGTATAGTATTCATCATGATTATTATATATATATATATATATATATTTATTTATTATTATTATAGTTTTGTAACTATATATGTATATTTTAACAAATTTTATATAAATAAAAAAACACCGTATAGTCTCCGTATAAATGACCATATACCTTTATACGTTATACGGTGCTAGTATTTTAGAACACTGCAAAATAGAAAACAAATTAAACTCGACGAAAGCCAAGCAACCTAAGGTAAAAATTGGTAGTTTGTGTAGTAGGGACATCATTGAAGGTCATAAATCAGAGCATTTCGATATCAAGAATGGCAGTTGGCAAGTGTGGACACTGACAGCAGTGTTTTGGAAATACTCAATTTAAGAGAAATACCATACGATTATGTATACACCAACTCGAATCCGTGTCTATTACAAATGGCGACACGTACTAATTTATACAAGAGTTGTTCGTAATAGTATTTTTTTATCACATTTTCAAAAACTTCTGTTACGATAAAATAGTAATTGTTGAAAAAGAAAAACAGTTGTGAAGAATTTTACCTTTTACGAGTCATTTACAATTTTTTTGTTCGTAAACTGGACTTGACCAAAAGGAAATGACCTACAAATTCTTAGGTATTACATGTCATATAATTAATAAAAAGAATTTGTGCATCACTAGATTTGTGATTTTGTCAACTTCCGCCAAAAACAATTTTCGGATTTCCGTTATCAAACAGTTGTTCTGATTTTTTTTTTGGTTTAATGTTAAACTAAAATTGTTCTGATTTTAATTCTAATGCTCAAATAAATATTTGTGTGATCAAAATTTTCAAATTATACAGTTTCCAAAGCTGTTGGTAGCGGCAACTAAGAGCATCTCCATTATATGTAAGAACAACAACTATTGTATTGTGTAAGAAAAAGTTGTATTTTTGATATGTAAAAGGTGATACCGGAAAAACCGTTTCTCTCCCAAAGCGACGAAGAAGGCGACTGTATACAAAAAACAACTTTTCGTTCTCTTCTCCGGCCGGCGTCGACTCCGGCGTCGGCCGTACTCTTTTTTATACTTTTGTTTCGTTTGTAGTTTTCAGTTTTTCAAATAAAATCTCAATCACAGACGCGATTGATTGTGCGATCATCACCAAATCCCTAATTGCTATTGCTTGGCCTCTTCTCGCAACCGAAATGGCTTCATGTGGCAAAGTAAGAGATGGGTTTTCGCTGATGGGTGTGTCTGGTAGCGTAGGACATGGCGATCTGGATATGATGATGTCTGTTTTAACAAATCCATGGTTGGGTTTGTCTCAATTTTGGGTCTCCACATCGATAGCCGATGCCACTTCGATTCTCGCTTTCAGGGGCTTCTTTCCTCTCCACAGAGGCGTAATTGTCCGTGTGATGATGATATGGTTCATTCACGGTGTTTTTTCGGGTATGCCCGGTCTGGTAGCAACA